AATTCCATCTCGCAGGAGACACTGGAAGCCACAGAAGCTTGTCGTGCGGCTCGATTGTCAGGGGATCGCAATTTGCGCCGTTCTCTGGCGCGCAGGACTAGGTCACTGGTGAGAAGGGATAAGGAACAGTTTATCAGTAATCTTGCAGAGGAGGTCGAAAGCCATTTCCTAGTAAATGACCTTCGTCCTGCCTACCAAGCTCTGAGAAAGCTGAACTCCAAGCCCTCCTCACAGACGACGGCAGTCCGCTCAGCAAGTGGCCAGGTAATCTCAGATCCTGATGGGGTATTTTGAGCAGCTGTATCAGGTTGATCCACCAACAGTTAACTTGTATGCTGGTAATGTTGGGAGTCCTCTGCCAGACCCACCCACCCTGACTGAAGTCAAAGGGGCGATCTCCAAGCTGAAGAGTGGAAAAGCAGCAGGTGTCTGTGGCATCCCAGCTGAATTGTTAAAGGCTGGTGGAGAACCTATGGCAAGGGGCTTGCATGCAGTCCTGTCTGCCATCTGGCAGACCGGTACCATTCCCCCCGACCTGCTGAGGGGTGTAGTCATCCCTCTCTGGAAGGGGAAAGGGGATCGGTGGGACTGCAGCAATCACAGAGGCATTACACTGCTCAGTGTACCAGGCAAGGTACTCGCCCACATCTTACTGAGACGTATCAGAGACCACCTCCTGAGGCACCAAAGACCGGAGCAATCTGGGTTAACTCCTAGTAAGTCCACAATAGACCGTATCCTGGCGCTTCGAGTCATTGTAGAGCGCCGTCGTGAGTTCGGACGTGGGCTGCTTGCAGCCTACATCGACCTCAAGAAGGCGTTTGATACGGTGCATCGCGAAACACTCTGGGAGATCCTGAGACTGAGAGGAATTCCAACAAGGATTGTTGGACTAATAGCAAACCTGTATACAGGCACTGAAAGTGCTGTAAAGTGTGGTGGGGGTCTGTCGAGCTTCTTTCCTGTTAGTTCAGGCGTGAGGCAAGGCTGTGTTCTTGCACCAACACTTTTCAACACTTGCATGGATTGGATACTGGGTAGAGCTACTGTCCAAAGTCACTGTGGAGCAACTCTGGGCAATATCAAGGTTACAGACCTTGACTTTGCTGATGATGTTGCCATTCTTTCTGAATCTCTGGAAACCCTAGTGGCGGCTCTTGATGCATTTAGCAATGAAGCGAAGCCCCTGGGGCTAGAGGTCTCCTGGACCAAGACCAAGATCCAGGATTTTGGGGGCCTACTAGGAGACCCTTTGCAGTCGGTACGTGCTTGCGGTGAAAACATCGAAGTCACAAGGAGTTTTATATACCTCGGTAGTGCAGTTCATGACTCTGGGCTGTCAGATCAGGAAGTCAGTAGACGGATTGGCCTGGCAGCAGGGGTCATGAAATCTCTCGACAAGAGTATTTGGAGATGCCGGTACCTGTGCAGAAGGACACAGCTACGAGTTTTCAAGGCCCTGATACTGCCAGTTTTACTATATGGTAGTGAAACTTGGATGCTATCTTGTGCTTTGGAATCTCGTCTCGATGCCTTTTGTAACAGATCCTTGCGCCGGATCATGGGGTACAGTTGGCGGGACCATGTGTCCAACCAACAGCTACACCGTGAGACCGGTACAGGACCTGTTACTTGCACAATCCGTGATCGCCAACTCAGGCTATATGGCTACTTGGCTCGATTCCCGCAGGATGATCCTGCCTATCAGGTTGTCTCTGTTCGAGACAACCCTGGGTGGAGGAGGCCTGTGGGACGACCAAGAAGGTCGTGGCATGGGCAGATCGATCAAACCTGTCGTGAGGAACTAGAGATGGGCCGGGCCCCTGCCTGGTGGCTCGCCATGAGAGACCCTCCCAGGTGGAAGCGAAGGGTGGACGCGGCTATGCGCCCCTACCGGCGTTAGCCCCAATGATGATGATGATGATATTATATATATGTATATACATATATACATATACATATATATATATATATATATATATATATATATATATATATATATATATATATGAATGAGGAAAACACTCTACCGTGTTGATACTATGGTAGAAAAACCCACAATGTAAAAAACTAGATTTATTGAAAATGAAAGTGAGACTACAGTTTCGGAATCCACCTGACCTGAGGATGGAATCTAGGTGGATTCCGAAACTGTAGTCTCACTTTCATTTTCAATAAATCTAGTTTTTTACATTGTGGGTTTTTCTACCATATATATATATATGTATACATTTATGTATGTATATATTATATATATGTATATACATATATTTATATAAGTATATATGTATGTATATACATATATATACATATATATACCTGTAATATATATAATACATGTATATGTATATATGTATACATATGTATATAATTACATATATATATATATATATATATATATATATATATATATATATATATATATATTTATATATATATATATATATATATATATATATATATATATATATATATATATGTATGTATATACATATAATATATACATACATAAATGTATACATGTATATATGTATATATGTATATACATATAATATATACATACATAAATGTATACATGTATATATGTATATATGTATATACATATATTTACATATATATATATATATATATATATATATATATATATATATATATATATATATATATATATACATATATATGTATATACATATATATATATATATATATATATATATATATATATATATATATATATGTACATGTATATGTATATATACACATATACATATATATATGTATATATACATATATACATATGTATATATGTGTATATATATATACATATATACATATATATATACATATATACATATATATATATATATATATATATATGTATATATATATATATATATATATATATATATATATATATATGTGTGTGTGTGTGTGTGTGTGTGTGTGTGTATATAGATACATGTATGTAAATATGTATATATATATATATATATATATATATATATATATATATATATATATATATATATATATATATATATATATATATATATACCATCTTCCACAGAGATGTATTCTTCGCTCTGGACGACCTGCGGGTGTCTCTGGTGCTGGCGGGAGTCCTGAGCTGCTTCGCGACCTACTACTTACTCGTCCTCAGTCTCCGCCAGAACGTCATCAGGCGACTTGAAGACAGGCTGAAGGAGGTGGCGATGGACAAGGCCTTCTTCAGGAGGAAACGAGAGGCTTCGGTAGGAAATAGTCTCAGGGAAGAAGGAAGGATCAGATCTGGGATTCATTTAAGGAGGAAAAAGACCCTCTGAAATGCACAGTAGTATCTGGGTCCATTTTAGGCAATGTCTGGGTCCATTTTAAGCAATGTCTGGATCCATTTTAGGCAATGTCTGGGTCCATTTTAGGGAAATGTCTGGGTCCATTTTAGGCAATGTCTGGATCCATTTTAGGCAATGTTTGAATCCATTTTAGGCAATGTCTGGGTCCATTTTAGGGCAATGTCTGGGTCCTTTTTAGGCAATGTCTGGATCCATTTTAGGCAATGTCTGGATCCAATTTAGGCAATGTCTGGATCCATTTTAGGCAATGTTTGAATCCATTTTAGGCAATGTCTGGATCCATTTTAGGCAATGTCTGGATCCATTTTAGAAGTCTTAGATTGCTTGCTAATTCAGTAGGGGAATTGTATTTTCTTGCATTCTCGTATGTGAATTAGGGAGGTGATATTATTAGTTAGAAATGATATTTTGGTACCAAAAATGTCTATTACAAAGAGAGAAAAACATTACAAAAAAAATCATTACAAATATATACATATAAAACTACACACATGTTATGTTGTGAAGTTTTTGACTGATAGAATTTGTTTTAAAAAATATGTCTATTGATAATTCTTCATAGTAATATCATAATGTATATGTAATTATCTTATCAATAAAATATATGTAAGTGTTTGTGTCAATATTTTCCTCAGACATATGGATATATTTTTGCAGTTGTAACTCGAAGAAAGTGTTTATTCGATGGGTTTATTAAGGAGGAAATTCGTTTCTATTTATATATTTCTGTGACTGTCATTGTGTTCACTGTGACCCATGTGGAGTAAAAAACATTAGTTAATAAAGGTAAAGACACCATTTTCATTATGAGAGATGACAAGGTATGTGGACACACACGCACACACACACACACACACACACACACACACACACACACACACACACACACACACACACACACACATGCACGCACGCACGCACGCACGCACACACACACACTTACACACACACACTTACACACACACACTCACACACACACACACACACACATACGAACTCTATAGGTTTGACATTGATTAACCTCCCCCCCCAAAAAAATAAAAGCCTTGATTCTACTACTAGTCTTGGGCCTCTGGAGAGATTTTATCCCCTTCATCCCTTTAAACGTCTGTGACGAGAAGGGGGGGGAGTCACGCCGTAGATTTTTTCTCGCTTCATGAATAATATAGAAGTGAATAATACGGATGAAGTGTAATTAAGATGAAGATTATAGATAATGATTAAGGTGAAGATTATAGATAATGATTAAGATGAATTATAATAATAATGAGGTATAATTATGTATATCTAAGTATAATTAAGAGGAATAAAACAGACGAAGCGAAAAGCGGCCGTTAGATTATAGATAATGATTAAGATGAATATTATAGATAATGATTAAGATGAACTATAATCATGATGAAGTATAATTATATATATCTAAGTATAATTAGGAGGAATAAAACAGACGAAGCGAAGAGCGGCCGTTCGCGTTCGCCTAAGCCCCGCATGCCGCCTCCACGAACGCCGATCAGCTGATGGAGGTAAACAAACAGCGGCGGCGTGAGAGGAAGGTGGCGAAACAGCTCCAGGGAAAGAAAAAAGATCCAGGGGATATAGACTAGATAATAGTCTAAAACCCTATAAAAGAAGAAAGAAGAAGAAGAAGCTCCAGGGAATATAGACTTCAAAAGTCTAAAACCCTATAAAAGAAGAAGAAGAAGAAGAAGAAGAAGGTGGCGAAGCATACAGTGCCCAAGATTTAATTCACACAGAATCAATTTATTACAATCACTAAATAAAATAAAAATACAAACTCCTGCAGACCAACCACCAGCGAAGAAGTATTCCATTCTGAGACACAAAAATCTTCCTACAAAAGAACAAGTATAATAGCTATAATCTCATAACAACGAAGACCCACAAGAGAAAATCCAGGGAGTATAGACTATACTATAGAGTCTAAAACCCTATAAAAGAAGAAGAAGAAGAAGAAGAAGAAGAAGAAGAAGAAGAAGAAGAAGAAGAAGAAGAAGAAGAAGAAGAAGAAGAAGAAGAAGAAGAAGATGGCGAAGCAGCTCAGGTTATTACGGAATTTCTGGGGAAGATGTAGCTTTACGACAGATGTGAGGGCATGTCACTCATTCCCCGTCAGAAGGACAGCGACGGGGAAGGGAACAGCAGCCCCCGAAAGGACGTATTCAAGGTAAATGAGATTATTATTATTATTATTATTATTATTATTATTATTATTATTATTATTATTTAAGGTAAGTGAGATTATTTGAGTACAATTCTCCTGGAGGGAATGTTAGGGTTCTGTATTCTTTGGGGATAGAGTGGCAGTGTTCTTGGCTTTTTTGTGGTTCTTAAGGGTCAGTTCGGGGGTATATTAGCAAATACCCGAAGTCAAATACGTCAAATCTTGGGAGACCACAATCAGCCGGGAGGCAAGGCACTCGTGTAAATACCGGTTCTGCTGTCATTATAATTCTAGGTTTATGAATATAACTGTGAATATTTGCCTATAATTGTTTCAGCTTGTCAGATCTCTTGAAAGTTCATCCTAATCTAGCATGACAAATATCCCTTAGGCCCTTTTGTAATAAGTGACCATCATAAAGTTAATTAATTTGTCTTTAGAAGGTACTAATGGACATTCGATTTTTTCTTCTCAGAACAAGTGTTATTATGAAGGAATTCAATTCAAAAGGGAGAAGAGGAGTGAATACAAATTTTGAACCGTCTTTGAATAATGAAGCGTCAAAAAGTCACAGTGATGCTGTAAAAGAAATGACTCCACCAATACAGAACACTTTGGCAACGCTGACGATGAAGCTGGAACGTCTGGGTTGTATAAATGCAAAGGATATTTTGAGAGCTGTAAAAGTCTTTGAGGGCTGTGCTGAAAATATTACTAGCAAAGATTATCAAAAGCTTTTACAAATGACAATCAGGATGGTAGAAGAAGAGTATCGGCCGGGCGCTAGCCATGTGCAACGAGTATGGAAGCTGACAGATGGCAGAGGTAAGTGTTTTTACTAGGTATGGAAGGGTAGATGGGTGGAGAGGTAAAAGCCAAATGAATGGATGGAAGGAAAGAAGAACGGGCCCGCATGTAGGGAAGTATCCTCGCTTATTTTACAAATACACTTTATAGATATATGCTTTTTGATATAGTTGTTCATTAATAAAATGAAAAGAGGATAGAAAAAAAAGGTGTATATGTACATGTGTGCGTGTTTGCGTGTGTGTGTGTATCTAAAATGTTATAAACATTAGTAACAGCAAAATAAGGTAATGTAAAATATTTTCATAAATCAATGAAAAGGGTGAATGGGCAAGACAGGCGGTACTTGTAACTGGCTCATTGGTGGTTTAGTACAAGTGTAGCCATCTATGTGTAAAAACAATTAAACAAGTAAACTCACAGTGGGCATGGTGTGGACATACGTGCCATGCCCATCAGCAATGGGTTAATTTCATATCATACTTTCCTTTCCTCATTTCTTCAGAATGAATCATGAAATAGAAGAACATTTATAAACTTGTTTTATCTATTATTAAATCTTTTTGGTCTGTAGAAGACTTTCAGATACATATATATGCAAAGAGAGATAGATAGTTAGATGGCTTGAATTATAGATATAGGTATTTGTTTTTAATATGTTATCACAGTATGTGCTGAGGCCATGTTTTTCGCACATAAATATTTGCAGATGACCTTATCAATGAGGAACATGTTGAGCTGTACTTGAGGATGTGTTACCTTGCTGAAGTTCCCGCTGACCCGTGGGTGAGTGATTTCTTTATGCTACTCTTTTAGATTTCATATGTTTGTGCGAAAACTTGGAAGTGTATTTATGAGCTGGGAATGTTTGGAGTTAAAGATTTGTTAGTAGAGTAAGACAGATTTATGAGTTTAAGCAAAATGTGAATGAAAAATGTTAAGACAAATGGTTTTAAGTATAAGCTTTAATCATACGAAGCAGTTATATTTTTTCATACTAGATAGCTTTAAGATTGAATTATAAGAAATAATGGTAAGGGAAACAATGGTTAATGTACAACATATGACAAACCACAGGACGTCCTCAGTCAACTAAAAAGGCTGAAGTTGGAGCCAAACCGTGAAGTCCTGGAGCTCTTCATGCTGCTGTTTGGCTGG